AAAAAAAAAAGGTCCAGATGCCTGGTAACCTCGCGACGAGCTTCTCAGCCAGGGATTTTGAGCTGGGCCCAACGCAGTCTGATTTGGATCCGCTTGCACCCTTGCCATCGCTACATTGGCAATCGAAACTCTAGTTACAATGGCCGTTGCATGCTACTTCTGACCAAGGCGGGCGAGGTAGGCCTCCCAGCCCGCCTTCTTGTACCGCGAACCCTGTTGCCTCACCTTGTCGAACGCCGCCTTCTTGTCGGCCTTGCCCTCTTCGGTCATGAGAGCGCCGTAGATGCCCCTGCCGACGATGATGACGTCGCACCCGCTCTCGCGGATGACCTGGTCGGGCGTGCGGTACTGTTGGCCCATGGCATCGCCCTTGATGTCGAGGCCAACGCCGGGTGTGAGGATGAGCAGGTCGCGCTCCGTGTTGGGGCCCTCGCGCTCGTCGACGCGCGACATGGCGATGAAGCCGCAGACAAAGCCGGTGGTGTCCTTCTTGGCCTCGTCGACACACGCCTGCGTGTAGGAACCCTTGGTGAGCGCGCCTGCCGAGCTCATCTCGGCGAGCAACAGAAGGCCACGTCCGAGCGGCTGGCCCACCTTGGCGAGACCGCTGATGACGCCCGGTCCAGGCACCAGATGCGCGTTGGTGATGTGCGACCACGACGCAATCTTGTGCACGCCCGACGAGTACTGCAGGCTTGCCGTGTTGCCTGTGGATGTAAGCGCGACAGGAAATTGCTCTGGTCAGCGGGGTGCACTGGCACTTGGAGTGGACGATCGCATGGACTCACCAATGTCGGCAAACTTTCGGTCCTCAAAGATGAGAAAATCGTGCTTCTGGCTGAGCGCGGTGAGCTGCTGGACGAGGTCGAGGTCAAAGTCCTCGACAATGTCGATGTGCGTCTTGACCAGACACACGTCTGGGCCGACGGCGTCGCACACGTCGAGCAGGTCCTGCTTGTTGGTCACGTCGACCGAGACGCACAGGTTGGACTGCTTGCGCTCGATGCACTCGAGCAGCGCCTTGGCGGCGGCATTGGGCTGCTTGGCCGCGCGTGATGCGTACGTCTGGAGGGTGATGCTCGACATGTCGCCGCAGAAACGTTGATGAGGAGGGCCGATAGCTATGATCGACAAAGGCAGTCAAGGTGCTTCGGCGCCCCGCATGCGAATGTCATGCAAAGGCAAAGCATAGCGGCCAAATTCGCGTCCTCCCCAAAAGCTCTTGTCGCACGATAAAATTTCACCTTCGTCGGGCGCTCACGTGAATCGGAAGAAATGGGCACAGAAGCGCAGGAAGAAAAAAAGGGCAAAGCGGCGCGCACAAGATCGGCTGCCAGGCCGATTAGCAATTGGATCAGCTTGGAGAGCTGCAGCTGCAGCCAATGGCTTCGACCAGACTTGACTTCGTCTACTCCATCACCACCTTACCCTGCTGACCACAGCTTTCGTCTAGCGGCCCACGTCTGGAAGCCGCTGTTCTTCGCCGCCATGGCCGCCAATACCGCAACCACGGCGCCCACGCAGTTTTCCAAGCTGCTCCGCCAGGCGCGCATCTCGACCTTCGACCCAGCCGTGCCGCAGGTGTACACGGCGCCGCCTGCCTATGCTGCGCGCGGCGAGTGGGGCATGAAGAGGCCGCTGCCGTCTTCGTCCGCCTCGATCTTTGGCTCGTCGTCCGGTTCGGCCGCGTATCCGGGTGCGCTGCGCTACGTCGAGGTGTCGCAGCTCGACACAGCCGAGGGCCAGACCTCGTGGAAGGAGCGCGAGAAGGAGGTGCTCTTTGTCAAGCGCTGGGCCGAGGCGGATACCAAGCTGCACATCAAGAAACCCGAATCCAACGGTCACACCTACACCGAGCCGGGCAGCCACGGCCCACGCCCCGCCACGTCGTTCCTCAAGTCCACCGAGCGCTACTTTCCTTCCGAGATCCCGGGCCCGATCGAGCTCACGCCCGAGCAGGAGGCCAGCGAGGATGCCAAGGAGCGCGAGGCGAGGCTGTACAACAATCGCTGGCGCAGCCTCATGAAGCACCACGCCGCGCGCGGTGCGGCGGACCCAGCCTACAAGGGGCTCGACTTTTTGGGCGAGCAGTCGACGTCGCGTGCCTACGGCTTTGATGCCGACAAGTTCTCGACGCGCCCGCGCATGATGGCCAACTACAACGCGCTCACCGATGCGCAATTTGACAAGTTTGTCGCCAAGATCCGCCACGAGCGCGGGGCGTGGAAGAAGTTCTTCAACGACAAGGAGCGCGGCCGGCTGCTGGGGCTCATTCGAAAGCGCCAGGAGAAAGAGTACGCCGCCGCGCTGCGTGCGCGCGAGGATGCCGAGCGACGCGGCGCCACCAAGGAGCCGCTGCCCGAGATCAACCCAGAGGCCGAGCTGGAGCACATGACGCTCGCCGAGATCGACATGCTGGAGCAGTCGCGCGATGTGGATGCAACGCGCGATGCCTTCCGCATGCTCGAGGACAAGACGCTGCGCGAATCGTCCAAGCAGTCGTCCGCCGCGCTTCCCGGTCTTTCGCAGCCGAATACGCTCCAACCCCATGCAGGTCTGCAGTACTCGCAGCCCGATGCCATCTACACGGCCATGCTCGCCGAGCCGCTGCCCGGTCGCGTGATCCACGAGGTGAGCTCCAAGAGCGACCGCGATCTGCGCAAGTTCGCCAAGGTCGCCGATGGACGTTCGGTGCTGGTGGGTGGACGTGTGAGCTACCTGCACGCACCGCTGCGTGCGCAGGCGCCGCCAACGATCGACTGGAGCCGACAGGAGCCCAAGCAGGGCACGGCGCTGTTCCGCATCGTCGACGCCTATCGCACCTCGAGCCTGACGCTGGGCAGTGGAATGCACCGCGACATGCTCTCGCCCCGCAACGACCTCGGCTACCTGCGCTCCAACGTCGAGCTCGTCAAGACCGATGCAAGCGGTCAGCCCGTCAACCGTGTCGCTCCCATGGGTAGCGCCGAGTACGTCGGTCAGACCGCACAGGATCCCAACAAGCCAGTGCGCAAGGCTCTCGGCAGCGTGGGCGAGCCGAGAAAACCCGCTGGCTTCGCAGCGCTCAACAGTTTTGCGGATCGTCGTAAGAACGATGCCCAGAAACAGAGGCGTCTCGGTCGCAACCCCTCCGCCCAGGCCAAGGCCGAGCAGAAGGATTCGGCGGATGCAACAAAGAAGATGCTCGACAACCTCGACGGCCTCATCAACCCATCCACGCGCTCCTAAACCTTCTGCTAGAAAAATTGTAAATCTCACCATCATCCCACCTTCAAACACAAGTGACCCACAATTGCTTTGGCAGAGTTGGTGCCGCGTGGATGTCCCAGGACCATTGACTCAGCCGCACAGACGAGGAATGTGAGAGTGACAGGAGAGCGGTTGCAACCCGCCACTGAAGAAAAGAAGGTACCATTTGATGAGAAGATGCAAGGGATCGCTGGCGATCGCAGAAAACAAGACGAGAGAAGATTCGGCACGACGCCGGAAAGATCGGAGCGGGTCCGATGCGCGTGCTTTTTTGGGGATGTGGTATGGATGAGATCACGTCGGAATCAGAGAGTCGGGTGCCAACCGAAGACATATCTACAGAGAAAAGGCGATCAAGGAAGAGATGAGCGAGTCGCTTGAGAAAGAAGCTTTGAACAGAAATCGAAGAAAGAGGGCGGAACATCAGTGGTGCGCCCACCCGGACGTCGAGAGCGCGCCAAAGACGCCGCTGTGCTGGAAGAGCGAGCGAGAGCCGGCGAGCAGCGCCGACGGCATCAGCGGACCAGACATGGTGCCGTTGGCCAGCTTGCCCGACTCGCCGTCGACGCCGTCCATCTCCTTGAACGCACCGCCGGTGCCGAGGTAGTCGGAGCTCGAGCGCATCAGCAATGCCGACGGGTTCTCCATGGCCAGACTCGCTCGCGATACGTGCGAGGCGCGCGCCAGGCCCTGGCCCTGCTCCTGCGCTTGCGACCTCTGCGACGTGTACGTAGCTGCCGCCGGCGCCGATCGGCAGTGCTGCTCTCCTCCCTCGAGCACGGCCAACGAGGCGGCGCGGTGGTGCGACTTGGCCCACATGTCGACGGGCGATGCGGCTCTGGCCTTGTGAGGCGTCTCGGCGTCCAGCGTGATGTCGCCATCGAGCCGCAACGCGGGGATCGCATCAAAGTAGCCGAGCGCCTCGTCCAGCACCAGCAACAGACGTTGCGACGACTCGTGGTCACGGTGTTTGCCCCGGCTCGATCGCTTCTCCTCCCACGTCTGCAGACGATGCAGGAAACCGATCCACGTCTCGTCCGGCACCGTCACCTCGTAGTTGCACTTCTTGAGGAACCACGCCTCGGTCTGGTTGAGCTCGGCGAGCGGAATGCCCGTGACCTCGTTCCAGGTCTTGTTGAGGAACGTGTTGTCGTCGAGGTGCTTGTTGGCGATCATCATGCCAAGCGTGAACAGCTTGAACGGCGCCGCCGACGTAGGCTGGGCAAAAAGCCCAAGCACCACCGGATCGATCGAGCCATCGGGCAGCTGCGCCATGATGAGCAGTCGCAGCGCATTCAGGATGCCGAGCAGGAAGGCGGTAGGCGAGAGCAACGTCTGCGCCAAGACCTGGTGCACGAACCTGCGGAAGGCAGGACTCGGCTCGTTGGCGTACGAGGTGACGATGCTGGCTACCGAGTCTCGGCCTGGGCGGCCGTGGGACTGGCTGTTGGGCGATCGGGAGCTCGCCGCTTCTGCACTCGCCGCCGACAGCGACTCACTGAGAGAGACGAAGAGATGGTCATTGTTGCTCCAGCGCCAGTCGGGCGAGACCAGGCGCAAGACGGCGACGACATTGTCGCGCATTCGGCCGGACCACTTTGAGCAAGGCGCCTTGGTCGAGGCTTTGGACGAGCTTCGGCGCGAGCGAATCGCCGACTCGGAACGCGAACGGTCCAGGGACATGCCGAGACCCACGTGAAGCGGGCTTCGTGCCGTCTCGACCGAGTGCGCCGAGATGGTGGAGCTCAACGCTGGGCTTTCGAGGACGAGCGACGCGGGCGTGCCAGGCTCGGAACTGCTGGCGGTGCTTGCGCCCGAGCTGTGCCTGGTGAGGGCATCCGAGTGACCGGAGCCCTGACGCGAGCGTTTTGCGGACGCAGCCTCCTTGGCCAAGGCCGAGCGAGCGCGCTCGGCACCGACGGCCATGCGGTGCAGATCGTCGTGCGACGAAGCGGCATCACTGCCGAAGGTGAAGGAGTGGGCTTGCGGGCGCAGCTGCGGCATGCGATCGGGTCCAAATGGCGAGCGAAAGGCATTCCAGTCGCCCGAGGACGGCGCTTCCGCCGGACGATCGAGCACAGTCGAGGACCAGGGCGACATGTCGGGCGTGTTGAGCGACGGCGTCGAGGACGACGAAGGCATGGACTCTGCTTCGGGCGACATGACCTCTTCATCATCCTCGTCCATAGCCTCGTCCGAGGTTTCGTGGGCCTCGGCGAGCAGGTCGGGGTCGAAGAGGGCGGTGCAGGCATTCCAGATCAGCTGGGCACCGATGGCTGCGATGGGAAGCGCCGACTTGTCGAGAGAGTCGGGCGACGAGGGCGGAGGACCAGCGGCCGCGTCGGATGCGCCCTCGGCGGGCACGCCTTCCTGGTCTGCGGCCGCGGTCGGCGCCGCCACATCGTGAGTCTGGCGGGTCTGTCCAGGCCATCGACCCTCCTCGCCGTGACCTCGAGTCTCGTCCGGAGCGAAATGCTGCGGTTCCTCACGCATGCTGGGCTGCCAGGCATGAGCATCGCCCGATCGCGACGAGGCAAACGCATCACGGGGACGTTCCTCGCGGTCAAACGGCTGCGAAGGATAGAATCGATGACCGCCTTCGAAGCTCGGAAAGTCGCGGCTTGAAGCGTCGGATCGGTGGTACGCTTCGTGCGCCATGCTCGATGCATATCGAGCATAGTGCGGAGCGCGATCCCAGCCGTGTGCAGGCGCGGCGCCGTGAGCGTCGTGGTGCGCCGGCCAGGCGTGTTGAGCTCCAAGCGATGCATCGTCCGAATTGCGGTGCACGGCAGGACCGTAGGCATGGTCGCCATACGCCTGGCCCGGATGGGGGAGGTGGGGGACGGAGCCTCGGTGCGACGAAGCAGTGTTGTGCCAGTCGGACCAGTCGCGGCCCGCGTAGTCGGAGGCACGGCCATCGCGATGGTAAGCGTCCGTGTTCCAGCTGTCTCTCTGGCGTCGGTCCGCGTAGCGGTCGTGAGCCGCGGAAGCATCCACACCGTGGGCGTGGTGCGGATATCGTTGCTGGTACTGGTTGGAGGGGAGGCGGGAGTGGTGGGGATCGTTTGGGTAGTGATGGGAGTGGTGGGCATGTGAATATTGGGGAGGATGTTGGTGATGGTGGCCCTGGTAGCCGTTTTGGGCAAAGGCGGAAGGATACAGAGGAGCACCGTTCTGACGCTCGTGCGCTTTGGCCATGTGATGCTGGACCAGCAGCTGGTGCTCGAGCTGTTGGTGAGTGCGTGGCTGCTGAGACGGATGAGGAAGAGCAAGAGCCTGGGCATACCACGCCGTAGCAGCGTGAGCAGGGGCGTAGGCAGGGACGGCATAGCCCCACGTGGGTTGCCTTCCAGCGCGTGCGGCAGCGGCGGAGAGTCGCGGAGCCTGAGGCGCTTGCCAGACGCCATGATCCGGATGGCCGGGCGCAGCGGAACCATGCGCGTACGAGTGGCTGTGGTAGATGTGCGTCTGGCCCGCAGCATCTACGAAAGGGTAGACGGTGGGGATGTTGGCGCTTTGTTGGGGATCGTGATGAGGGTAAAGGCCCATGCCGAAGCCGGCTTCAGGGCCATGGTGATACGCGCCCATGACGGGCTGCGCATCGGGGTAAAAGGCCATGCCTACAGCGAAGGCAGGTGCACACACCGAGGCTAGAGAACCTGGATGAGCGCTTTTGATCGGACCGGAGGCGATGCGACGCGGTCCTGTGATCCCAAGGTCGGTACAGGCGGAAGAGCTCGACCGAGATGGGTGTTTGGGCGATTGATCGAACGAGGAGGAAGATGAAGGCGAAGCCGAAAATGATAGATACGATACGTTGTCGTCTAGCTGCCCGAGAAATCGATGGAAGCCGATGGGGTCAAGAAAGGGAAGGGGAGGCTGGTGAGGACCGTGAGAAGAGAGCAGCACAATGAAGGCGTCCCTGGGCCCGAGGTGATGACGAGAGGATCACCTAGATGAGAGAGTTGCAGCCATGAAGAGGTCGACGGGTTGACAGCGGACGAGAGCGTGGGAGGACGAACTGCGGTTTGGTGTCGACGTCGATGCAGCCTAGTCTGCGAATGAGACGAGTCGAGCAGCGATGTTGGCGATGCTGGAGCCAAGCTGAAGCGTGAGAGGCGGTCAAGGCAGGGCCAGGCGTTGCGTCACGAACGAGGCTGGGCTGGACGGGGCGGGGCGGGATTACCGAGTCTTCGCTAACCGAATGACTGCGGGAAGGACAGCAGAACGCGATGTCCAAGAGGGAAGGGGTCGTTACACGATGGAGAGCCGATCTAAAAACGTGCAGCGGCGGTCGAAAGGCGATTCGCTGCAGTTGATGGAAGGGGCAATCCAAGGCCAGAGCTCGATTGACTCGGCACTAAGTTTGGCTGGCGGAACGACGGATGAGGCGCAACAACGAAGGTCCGAGGACGAAGCGATGCTGAGTCTTGTCGAAAAGCCGTCTCCTTCCGTACGCACACTACACCTCACGATCGAGGTTGCGAAGAACCTCGAGCGAGCCGACGAAGCGGAGGGTGATGCGGGCGAAACGGCGGATGAGCGCGCTCAAGAGAGGGAGAAGAGTCCCACCAAAGGAGCAGCAACCCAACGCGGAAGAGGAACCAAGCAAACGAAAGAAGAAAGGAGGAAGAGGTAGAGGAAAGGATGATGGTGACCGGAATGGAAGCGGGTGGGGGTGGCATCGCCATGCCTCAACAGCATACGAGGCTTGGCCTTCGGAGCCGGACAGAGCTAGAGGTGAGAGCGACTGAGCGGATAGCGTAGCCGCTGACCGCACACTGCAGGCCGGCTGGCTGCAGGCGGGCAGGCAGGCAAGGCAAGGCAAGGCAAGGCAAGG